GTAATCTGGTCGGTAAACCCCAAGTTCAAAGCTCCGCGTTAGCTCAGAGATAACTCTGAATTACGTCTTTGAAACTCAAGGTTTTGCTTATTGAAACTTTGAGTTCTGCTTTTCATTTTCTGAGTTCAAACTCTCAAAGTCGGAGCCTCAATTGCTGTTTGAGGATCTGTTATGCACGTCACCGCGAAAGCGAAGTTCAAGCTGGGACTCGAACATGTTCTGTCTAGCGTAATGATCCTATAGCTAAACCGCTAAGCCATGACACAGCCTCTAAGCTCAAAGTTGCTTTGCCGTCATGTACTCATAGCATTGATACTAACGAGAAAATGGTCAGAACTTAACCCAGCCATTCCAGACAAGCTGCATATCATCGAACTGGCTTAAAAACGTTGGCTTCAAATATATGCTTATTGTCTGCCAAGCGACCATATGGAAGGAGTTGAGCGTTCGAATGTATACTTCCTTCAAAGGCAGCCTGATGGCGCGAATTTACAGTGGCTATGGTTATTTCAATTACAAGGAAGAAACACATTCACCGAAAACCTAAGTAAGTATTTTAGAAACGTCTTTCACGGAACATGCGCCACAGAATAAGTCACAAATTGCATATACGCTCGTAATTCTTTCCAGACAGTCGCTTGGCAGATAATAAACATATATTTGTGATCAGCGTACGAAGGCGCCGATGATATATAGCAGGTTTGATATGGCCGGATTAAGTTCTATCCATTTTCTGCTAAGCATGTCGAAACATGTTACATCAAAGCCTCACTCATTCTCATTTCTGTCGAGAAGTAGTAGTTTATCGTACAGATTGGTCTCTTGCGCAGCTGAAAGCTTCAAACAATAGAGAGAGCGGGTGACATACGCAATAAGAATGGACTACTAGGATTTGCGCACAGAATAAACCATAAGGACAAAGTCTGCGTTTGCTCTTATTCTATGATTTGATTTAGTCCACCTATCGTATGCCTACCGTAACTCCGCCAGTTGGCACCGCCGCATGAAAGGTTTTGTTAACTTGTGACTGGCGCGTCGAAACCTTACTGGGTCAAATGTCAAATTTTAGTCGTATTTATGACTTCATCCCAGTTACAGTATACCTACCGCGATCGCTCCAAATGACACCAGTGTACGGAGCACATAGAGTGTCCGTAATCTGCGTCAGGAATAACCCTAGTGTAGTGCACCAAGTTTCGGCTAATTCCGCCGCTTCAACCACCTACCGTAAACCTATCGTAACCTTGCCAGATGTCACCGAAATATACAATGAATACCATATTCGTGATCAGCGCGCCGAATAACCCCATCGGTCCAAGTCGCCAATTTTGTGTCTTTCTCCTGTCTACCGTAACACGCCTTTATAAACCCCAAGGTGAAAAATGAGCACACCACGATACCCCATCATAACTGTTGAACCCATGATCAGAATGTACCCCGGAGGACTTTCTAACTGCTCCTCTTCTTTTGTGCACTATTTCTCTTTCCCTAACCAAAGTAAGAGTTGACCTGAATTTTACGAGAGACTGGAACGCGCAGCAAACTCAGAGTTAGCGCAAAGCTCAGTTGCGCGTTTGGTGGCACTGTTTCTTGTGCAGAACGATTTCGGCATGTTCCACTGGTGGGGGTGAACTACCGGTTACGGGTCTTCTGCAAAATCATCGCTTTCCAGATTTGGTCCATATAAGCACCTGTTAAGAGGGTTAGAAAGATGCGCGATAGCTCAAATATGACTCAGAGTCAACTCAGGGTTATAACTGCGAGTTTCGACAGGTTTACTACCAACCTCGATTTATTCAAAGTTATATAGGTCATGAATGATATTTAACTCGAACTATTGGAAATAAAGTTTTCGATTGAAATTCGAAAATAAGTTGTCATAAAAGCGTGGTCCCACGAATATCATTCGGATGCTCCAGTCAAATGTTTAATTTGAAACAGATTAGGGTTTGTTCCAAAGAAACCTGCTGATTATGAGTGTTCGCATTAGTTAGGATGCGAAATGCCCGAGGCACCTTCCTCACCTCTTTCGATAACCCACGGTTTACTGCCGTTTCCATCCAAAGTTAATTCAATGTTCACTCATTAGATTGATGCATAATTGTTGCACCAAATGAGTAGAACCGCAACAAGTCATATTTTTCAAGTGGAATATAGGTTCCGAGCTTCCATTCGACAGAGCAAGGTAAACATGATAAGATGGATGGTATTCAAAAATTGCACCTGCTTTAATCCACGCAAAGATTGGAGGCAAAAACTGAATCGCGTGGACGGCGTCCTCGAGTATATATTATTGTGATTGTTGACCTTCTTTTGGAAGCACTCCTAAATTCGAGAAGAACCGTTGTATTAAACAAGTGAGAGCTGGGAGCTGTTTTCGGCCTATTTTTGCTCAGTACTGGCAGGATCCCCCGAAATGCGAAGATGTTGCAGTTGCCAAGGGCCAAGGAACTTTCACTCCCATGTCTTTCCAATCTCTCCAATTAACATTCTTGAGACGCTCATCAGCTTCGGCGATTTAGCAGAGTATGGTCAGAACTTAAAGGCAGCGGCTGGGCAGATTCTCAACTTGGATTTTTTCTGCTTGCCTGAGGTAATTCGAGGCGCTAATTCCGAAAATACACTTTGAAGAGCGCGAAAATGGCAAAACCATTATTTTCCAAGGCCTCCCATTTTATATTTGGACGAGTGAAGCACGTCCCGCCATGGTTAGAGAGGCAAAATCGTTGCGGGACCCTCGCAGTTATAACATTGCGGCATGCCTTCTCTGACTTTCAGGGAGAATCGCAAGCTCGTCGCGCGTGTTAGAATGGCTTGCGTGTAACGGGTTTAGGGGCGGTTTTCTAGGCAAGGGCAGCATGCTATGTGCTCGGACCTGCTCTGTTCTCATGTTTGGAGTGCAAGAAACCTTCCATTTCAGAATTTCGGGAATTTCGGGATTTCGGGTTTTGGGGAACTGCTGCCTTTAACTCAGCCATACCAAACATGCTGTACATCATCGGACTCGTCTTAAAACACTGATCACAGATATATTGGGGTTAGTGTTTGTTAGAGTTACTCAGACAATAATTCGGACGAGCGCAGTGCCTCTATAGGGCGAGCTATCATGCCTTTCGCCGTCCGCCCTTTAAAGGCACGCCGCCCGCCCTTTAGAAAATAAAGCGGGCGAGCGGAGTACCTTTAGCGGGCGACTAATATGTATCCCTCCGCTTGCCCGACAGAAATGAGCCACTGGCCCGCTATCTGTAGACTATACGGATCTCACAGCGTGCTGCCACTACGCTAATAATCCGCACTTGCTTTTGCTACCAAATACACACTCTGATGTTCAATTTACTGGAAAAGAATGTAAGCAAAACACATGCATTTGGGGTGAACAATAAATGCGATGCAGAATACGACGGTAATACCGTCACCATTATATAAAACAAGACAATAATAAGATGTCAATCCGTTCTTTGATGAAGAACCACACAATGTAACGGAAATCTTTTGAGTGAAGACCGAAGTATATGTTAAAGGATATTCGTCGACGACTGCCCCGATTCGTGCATTTACACCACCGTGGGCGTGCCTCTCTGGAGCCTTTCCAGCTTGACAGTACGCTGAAGCGCGCCCGGACTTCGTAGCTCGCAGCAACACTGTCCTTTATCCTCTTTTGTTTTTGAGTATTTCACATCGTTTTTTCTTCTCAATTTACATATTTCAGTCAGTCATTCGTTTTCCCTATCTCTTAGGTTCTCTCGATGTTCAAATATTCTACGTTCTACTTTGATGAATACTGAAAGGTAAGGAAAGAAAATGTTTAGGCACATTTCCTGAATTTCTCTCCCTTTTTACCCACCAAACACTCTTTTTCAAAACGGTGAACCATCGCCTCGGGCAGAATTAGGTGGAAGGGTGTGCTTTGTCCATAAACAGTGGTGGCTTTCATGGAGTTTCCTTGGATGAGACCACTGTAATGTTTATTTCAGCACTCCTACATGGTGTTCTTGATTTAGGAGTGCTGAAGTAATCATTTCAGTGGATTGTCCTAGGAAACATATCAAATCAAAGTAAAACATTGAAAAAACATGATATCCCAATCACAGCCATGATATCCACCACTGCAACTACAAAAAAGGTCAATCTTTTCTCTATTTTGCTCGCGGCGATGGTCTCACATAGACACTAGAACGGCTGATTGCGTGAAATAAAAAATAAGAAGAGAAAACGATGTGAAATTCTTAAATCAACAAAAGAATTGAAGGAGAGGGATGCTGCGAGCTACCAAATCCCCGCGCGCTGCGGCGTACTGTCAAGCTGGAAATGCTCCAAGAAGGCACGCCTGCGGTGGTGTAAATGCACGAAACGGGGCAGTCGTCAACGAACATCCTTTATATTGCTAAATCCTCATGAAAGCGAGCTATAAAGTGTGGCGTATGCGTATTCAACTTGGGCAGTTTTCAGTTGAGTAACTGAATTCTGTGCAGACACCGTCTAAATGTGTATCCTGAAACATCCCCATGCACTCGATGTTCACTAAGATTGAAAGTAAACCTACTTCAGAATTCGTCCTTCATCTTCACTTGTCACCTCTGTAACTTGAAACATCACGCCTTGTTATCGAACAATTCCTAGAAGGCAGGCTTCCTAAAGCTAATGCAAGGATTGCGCTGTCATAGTCAGAACTCACTTTTTAGTTTTACTCCGTAACTTACTTGTTAAAACCCGCATTTATCTTCGTTTCCCATTTTTAGAGGTAATGAATGGGAAGAGACGTTTATTCCATCGAGATGGCGTGAAGGTCCGCCGAGTTATTGTCAGAGTGATCTTAAGTTGATTTCATGCGGGAAAACCTTGATTGCTTGCGGCATCACAAATTTAGCCTTAATTGGTTTGATGGTCTTCTTTAGATTGATAGAAACCAGACCCACATGAAATCTTGTAATCCAAGAAATGCTTCAGCAAATGTTCTCTTCAAAAAGAAAGTGGTTTGTACCATGATAAATTTAATTACAGCGTAACTTCTATTTCAGAACTGGCATAAAGACAGTGCAACCTGCTAAGAGGTAGATGGCAAAATCATGTCGTGGCGTTGCGAAGTGGATATTGCGCAATACATTGATCTCTCGTGAAAGTCTGACACCGGAAATACGTCTCCGACTTATTACTGAACAGAGTTCGTTGTGGAGGAGTGATCCCGACTTATGTCCTTTTGTCGATCCTTTCTGGGCTATTTATTGGCCGGGAGGACAAGCCATAACTCGGTAAGTGCAAAGTAAAACCAAAGTATATGCATAAATAGCTCAAGCTGCTTCCAGATATATCCTCGATAATGAGACGCTGTTTTATGGAGCGCATGTGCTAGACTTCGGATGTGGCTGCGGTTCTGCGAGTATAGCTGCAACAATGGTTGGCGCAATTCCAATCGCTAATGACATTGATAATAGTAAGTTTTTTTAACTGTCTGTCGGTCCAAATATAAGTGCACAGAACACAGCAAAAACAAGTTTATGTACATTCAAATTAATACAGCTATACTATACCGAACTGCAACGTAAACCCATTAGGCCTAAGGCATACCTCACGCGATTTTAGTCGCCGCGCGATTTGGCACTGCAACGACTCTCCATAGCTGGTCGTAAACGAACTTTGCTTGGGCCAGACTTGCTGTGTTTGTTACAATTTACGGAAAATCTACGCACCCATGCATATGAGAGCCTTGCATGTTTTATCTTTAGACTTCCGGCAAATCGCCAAGTCGCGAGGATGTGGCGATTCCGCGAAATCGCGAGAGGTATGCCTTAGGCCTGAGAGTACTAAAGATTACCTCCTATCATTTTCAATGTACTTCAGTTTCCATTACATAAACCTAGGATTATGTGATACAGTACTAAAGTCATCTTCTCCATTCCCTTTTGTATTTTGCTAGCGAATTACCGTTACCATCTCAGCTGGAGGTAGCAATATAGATTGAAGAAAGGACGCCTGGGTGAAGAGAGGTACCAAATTCAAAACGGGACTGAAGAGCCTCTGCATAGCTTACAGCGGTTTTCATGTCAGCCGCTGCAAAGTTTTGAGGACGGAGATTTCTGCATAATGTGAAGTCCGCTCTAAATGAGAAGACAGTCATGCTGTTTGAGTTTTAAAGGACCATATTTCAATGGGAAAAACATTAAATTCCAAGTCCGACCGTCAGTGAATCTTGATATGTCTTGATAAATCGTAGTAGTGTTGTTTCAGCTAGAAACAATATTGCAATCAGGAAAAACATTGCTCCAGAAACTTTTTAGCCTCGATCATTTTCAATAAGGTCTTTGCAAATAAATTGGAAATCTTTGTTGATCGGATGTTTCTAACATGCTATGGTTTTCCTTAAGAAAAATGCGAAAAAATTGATCTGCTTCTCTGTGCCGTTCGGTGACAGTAACACCAAATTATACTCTGGCCGCCCAATTAGCATGAATTTCTCTCACTTAGGAAAACAAAAGTTCGACCCACAGCTCGAGTTTTCAGCGTATTTTTGCTACCAAACCGAAAATAACCGGAGCCTAAAGGCACCGTCCGCGCAAAATGACGTCGATGGAATTTTGATGCCTAACAGTAGCGGGCCCCCCAAACTGTATATTTGCCCAACTCGCGATGCCAAAAGTTGCTTCCGAAGCAAAAAATTGCTTTGAAGCTTTGGATGACGAATTCGCTTTAAGTGGGTGTGACGTTCGTCCTCGTACACACCCAACCAATCACCGTCGAGAAAAGTCGCTCTGCGGGTTCCGCGGAACGGCGCTTGTCGGAATTTTCGCGGATTCTCAACTCAATATTCGGAATCAGGGACACGAGGAGGCCCCGGGACGAAAACACGGAAGTGGAGAATTTGGGTGGACGGGCCTTTGAAGGCAGTGTCCGGACAAAATGGGAGTTTTGGGATTTCAGTGCCATGCGAAAGTGGCCCACCTCAGACAGACCATCGCGCGCGAGGTTAAAATGTTCGACATAAAGCAAGAAAAAAGGATCGGAAAGTGGGGAGACTTACGCCTCGGGGCGGGTTCCTCCGACCTGTTCGAGTTGCTGCTATCGGCAGAGTACGTATGCCACCACACTGTAGGTTGGCGGGAACCGTCGAATTTCGATTTGTAAGGCTTTGGAAAACGCTTGTTCTCGCTGTTTTCGCCCCTAATGTGGATTTTCGGATTCAGCGTTGCGGATAACCCCCGGTAAGTGGATCTTTATAAATCGAGTTTTTGCCCGAACACTGCCTTTAAGTGATTTTCTTTTTCCGCTTGTAGCGCTGTGACAGTCTACATATGAATTCGCCAATATGCTGCTGTAAACACAAAGGCTTTTCTATTTCACAGAAGATGAATGAAGCAAATCTGTTAAATGGCAAGAACCTGCAAATTTTTCACTAAGCAAGACTCCTGCTCCCGGCAATGATGTTGGTTGATTAACATGTTGACGACGAGCTGTTTTTTTTTTGACGTCTGTCGCTGTGGACGAACCGTTTCCGGGATTTTCATAGCTGGCTGCATGTATGTATGCATGCATCTAGCGTGAGATACAAACATGCAGGTGGGCGGGGCAGCTCCGCCTACTTTTGGAAAGCTCCGCCCACTTTTCAAATGTCGGAATTTGCACAAAATTCACGATTTCGTGCAAATTCCGGCAATTTTGAAAAATGTGCAGAGCTTGCCACCGAGGGTTTGGAGCCTGCATAACGGGGAGCGGGGTTAAAATTAAGATTGTTTGAGATTCCTCAGTCATATACGAGCTTTTTTAAGAGGTTCAAAAAAGAAATGTTTGTAAATGAAATGGAATAAATGTTGAAATAGCGTGGACAGTTGAACATGCTCTAACATAAACAATGGTGGACTCTCCGTACATGAGTAATTCTATGCGGCAAACCTTTGCTAGTGCAGACATAAACTTTTAGCCTTCTATGAGCTATAACGAATAGCTGTCTTTAGAAAATAAAAACTGTTTTTATTATATCTTTTCGTTTTTTTTTCTCGAAAAATACATAAATCCAAACATGAAATTTTATTGGGCATTACAAGTGTGACCAAATGGAAAGTTCACAAAATAATTATGAAAGGAGATGTTTTTTGTTATCTTGAATTTGTTAAACTTGCTTCCCAACACTTGGTCGACTGCCGACTTTTTTCTTGCAATTTTGGAGCTTGCTGCTTCATCAAGCCCGCCATGGTAGTTAAAGGAACGTGCTTCAACCAATGACCTTCAGCTTCATGAGGAGCTTAAAGTGACAGGCCTCGTTAAACGCTTTGGGATGATAAAGAGTACAACTACGGTTCTTATGATTCAAAGCTAAAATCAGTCATAGGTACTATACTTTGGACCGAATCGATTATTCAATTATTCGGAAAATTAATCGAATGCGAATGATTCGAAAATTCGAATATTCGAACATCTAAGATTTATATTTGATAGTTGGATACTCGAAAATTTTCATTTTCGGATCCTTACTATAATATACATTCGATCCTTTCAAGCGCGACGGCAGAGTTTTCTGCGTCCCTCCTATCCTTAACCCCAGCATGACGGAGGGTCCAGTTGCTGAAGGAATCCAGAAAAAGGAATGCAAAAATATAACGGCGCTCAATGGTGATGAGAGGAGAGGCCAGTAACCATTATGCCGGCGAGAGATTTGCTTGCACTATAGGTCCCGAGCGGAGCGGGTCTTTTTCAAACTTGAGCTAGGCGGCTAAAAATTGGTACAGGAGTGTATGTGCGCCTGTTGATTACGAAAACATTGGATTTTAGAATTATTGACTACCCATTAACTATCTTTGCTAATTTTGTTGCTGCACTCGCTATGTGTTGAAATAGCAACAACGAGCCATGGTAGCTGAAATTGTTGTGTACGGAATTACTCCAGCTATCGATCTCTCTTTCGGCTTGAGTTCCGCTTACAGTTACAGCTCCGAGCTTACAGTTCTTCGTTGAAGCTTTCTGTTGCCCCTACTCTACACATATAGCCTACTTAGCCCCCTGGAAATTTCACAGTTCTTTCACGCACAAGTTAGGAAGACTACGGAGAAATCCTGATTGTTCAACGAAAAAACTGAGCATTCCGTGAATTATGGTGTTGAAGGGTGAGAGGATAGATTTGGAAAGAAGAATGCATCCTACGCGTACATCAAAAGAAATTCATCATAATCTACTTTTAGAGGCAAAGTGCTCGAAAATCGCTTGGTTTTTAGCAAAAACTTTAGCATTCAACCGATTTGGTCCAGAAGGGCGTAAAATTCGAGGCCCGCAAAGTGGAGCCTCATTCGGAAAGACTTATCACCCTTTTTGCACGAATTTCAACGAAATCATCAAAAATTCGTTTTTGAAGAAAGTTTAAAAGAAAGAAAGGAAAAGCGTGAATTTTCAACGAAGATGAGCTTCATCTTTTTGTTTTCGAGAGTGGGTAAAATTCGTTCTGCTGACCAGAGCCTCATTCTGAAATGTTTTCGAGCATTGCGGAAATTTCCGATTTTTCAACAAAAAAAGAACTGAGCATTTCTTCTGGTTTCAAAGGGAGAGGGGATAGATTTGAGAAGAACAATCAGCCTGCGCAGATCTCAACAATATTCATCATAAATCTGCCTTTGAAGGTTATGTGCTCAAAATTCTGATTTTTTTTTCAGCGAAGAACTGAGCATTCCATCAATTTTGGTGTCAGAGGGGGTAAATTTCGAAGATCCCGAAGTAAAACCGTATTTGCATAGATTCATCACTCTTTTCTGCACAATTTAAAAGCCATACCCGATTGCTGATTCTAATGGCCATGATTGCGTGGCTAACTTTATTGGCAGGATGGGAATTTTTTCGGACAGTGGGTAATCGACAGTTTTCGGTATTTTTTTCACCAGGGATCCGTAAAAATCCTGTAAAATTGACAGTAGACAAAGACCGTATTGGCTAGACTACTATAAAATTGTAATTGTTTGGCATAAAAGTCCACTATTCTCATGTGTGTCAAGTCCAAGTCACTCGATTCGAGAAAATAAGACCTAGGTACTTTTTCATAATTTTTGGGCAATCAGGCTATCGTACTCTCGTCACTGATGATTTGCAAGATTTCAGTGACCCTTGAATCCTTAGTTCTGAGAAATTAGAGTATATAAGCCTTACAAAATTTACAAAATCTATTCGCTAAAAGTATAGCACACTTGCATCAAAAAACGGTAAGTAAAAAATGAGCAGTGAAGTGATTAATTTGAATTTCACTTCTATTTTCGGAGTGCTCATGGAAAGAATATTCGTTAAAATATATTTCCAGGAAGTTGATAGCATAAACATATTCCAACATTTTTTTTTCAACTCAGATGTTCCATTTTCCAACAATGATTTCTATAAACTGTTTTCTGCAATTGCAACCATGAGACTTATCATTGGTTTTGATAGTGGAAAAATGATTTGTGTTTCGAGATTTGGAGGGACGAA